ACTGTTTCTATCATTTTGTACACTCTGATTTCTTCCATGAACCATTCTTAATGTCTACCAGTTTCATGAACGCCTGCCAAAAATTTGAATGTCTACCAATATGATAGACGAGAACAGTATTCTTATCATGTTTCAACTTTTCTATGGTAAATATGCATTTTCAAAATAAGAAAATAATATTCTGGAATTTAAATATCAAATTTAAATGAATTTGAATACCTGCAAAAGAAATTAACTTTTTATTTTATTTTTTATGATACAGAGTCTTGCTATACAGTTCAGACTTATAGGGATCCTCCTGCTTCAGCCTCCCTATGGATAGATTACAGGCGTGCACCATCACTCCCGGTTCTGGGGTCAGTGGCGTGCTCTGGGTTCCAGAACTAGCATAGCATGTGGTACCAGGAATTGAATTCAGGACCTTGCACTTGCCAGGCAGATGCTTATGCCACAGAGCTGTCTCCCTATCACCAAGCAATTATTCTAAGTCTTCAGTTCTTCCCATAACTACAACAGTTTACTTTCTTTGACTACTTCAAGAATTTCAAATGGTGCTCTGTATTAACCAAACATGGGCCAGGTTTACTTTAAAGAATCTAAGTGTGCTGAAGTAACATCTGATGAGACTAAAATATCTACCCTGGAAAACTGCTCCGATATTCTGATATTATGGACAATATGATAATGATGACTGAAAGGATGATCAATAAAAAAGAACAGTAAACAGAAGACAAATATCATGCATTTCACCTGAATTGATGCACTCCCATAACATGTAAGAGAGGTCAGAGGGCAGAAAGGCAGTGAGTGTTGCTCTGTGGACAACTACTCTTGATCTTCAGGCATTATTCTGAGATTGGACTATCTCTTCTAGATACCACCACTCTACTCTTACACTTTACATATTCTTGTAGCTATCCACTGTTACTATTATTTGTTCCTTCTTACAGTGTTCATTGTGCCCACCTGTCTTAAACATATTTATTCCTTGCCTTATCCCAAGACTTCAGTTTTTCAGCTTCCATTTAAAGTTTGATAGTTTGATTTCCCCGAAGGTAGAATAAATTAAAATTGTATGTAAAATAAAAACAAACAGGTTATAAATGAAGTATCTTTGCATATGTCTGACTGGCTTCTAGGATAAGCTTTAAAGTATTTTTGTTGTCTGGCAGCCTGAGGTTTTTATTGCTAAAATACAGATGATAACGGCATCCCAGGCTTTCATCTACCCTAGATAGAAGTCTGAGCTCCAA